TTTTTTTTTTCTTTTTGACAATGATCAACTTGAAATGGCAGTCCCTTTACTAGGAAGGCACTCACAGTCAGCAGCTCTTTGACAATTAAGAACGTCACTTGAGCGGTCAGAGGAAAGAATTCTTTGCAAATGTCTAAAGCAGTATGTATCTACAGGGATGCAAATACAGAACTTACAACTTTAACTAGTATTTTGTTTACTGGCACTCAAAAGTCCATGAAACTCAAGGGCCGAAGCAGAAAATGTGTTTGAAGGTTTCTCAGGTGTTCAGTTAACATTGGTATTTTTCTTACATTGCATTACAAAATGTTTGTGTCAGGGTACCAGTCACAAATTCTTTCCCTTTTTTAGTCATATCAAGTATTAGCACTATTTAATGTAATATTTCTCAAACAGGAGCACTCAAACCACATTTCCACTCACTGGGAGACATAAATCAATCTAGCCATCTAGTTTCCCTGAGTAGGTGTGCGGGGTTTTTTCCTTTGCTGTAGCTCTTTTTACCATACCCCACAACAGGAGGGCTTTACAGTTGTACTCTCAGCTGCAGAGCTGTACCCGTTGGTGTCCTCTATCCAGTTCTCAGACAACATTATCCACAACACATATTGTCATCATCAACACAGAACCCAAAATCACAGAGTGCAAACTCCCCTCTTTCTATTACAGGAGTTTAATGTTTGTGACAGGGAAGGCTGGCAGAGCAGTAAGGAAATTTGAAAGTGTCACTGCTCTATGCAGTGCAGCCTTATTTGACTGGGTAAAATATTTTGATATTCCAGCACTATCAGCCTGAAGATCCAGTTCTTTCAAGCCAAAACAGAAATTTGTAAAAATATATTTAACAGGAAAATATTCAAGGTGATACCTTCACCTCAGTGTCAAAGTATTTTAGTTTGATATGACAATAACAGGACACTTTTTTGGTTTATTAGTAATGTTCTGATAAATTAGTAACGTCTAGATTATATGTATGCAAGTTTAATTACCTTAATTAGCCTATTTATCTTTGTTAAAGAGACTTATTCAGTATTCATTATTTTCCCAGTACTATTCACCATCTCAGCTAATGGTTTACTGCATAAAGGGAAGTGTCATCCCTTTTATTTATGTCGCTTGTTAAATGGCAGTACAAGTATAAAAGCCAGACATTTGACATTTATATACACTTTTTATTTGCTTAGGTGTATTTGCGCTTGGATCAGCCTGTAACAGCTTTGAACCTTTTCAAGCAGGGGTTAGATCGATTTCCTGGAGAAGTGTCTCTTATTTGTGGAATTGCCAGAATCTATGAGGTATGCACCCACTATGCAATCCTTCTGTGGCTGTGGTTAGCTGCCTGAGCAAGAAAAAAGAGCCAATACTTGAATATAACTGTAAAGTCATCAAAAATTAACTACACTGATTTTCAGTGTCACTAATGCAAAACAGGTAACATTACACAAAGATATCAAAGTAGTGTCAGGAGAACCTTGCAGCCTTATTTGTTTAAATGGTTAATCACACTAGTGAGATCCTATTTACCCTTGACACACAGAAGCAAGTCCTCATTAAGTCAAGTGGTCTAGATGTTGTCCAGGTAGCTAGGTCTCTTTTATGTATGTTTCATCATGCTAAAACTGCTCAAGTCACCAACAGCCTGCTAGCAAGATTAAACTGCAAAACAGTCTACTCGTCAGTCTTGTCTTTATTAGCACTGTGTGTTACTGTTAGTTTCTTAAGCCAGTGAGAACAATTGGAATGTGAATGTTTCTTCATTTATTTTGTTGATGTTATATCTACTTCCTATATAACATCTGCTTCCTATATAACATCCTACTTTAAGTAGGATTAGTTTTAAAGTAATTTCATTTTAACTTGGTAACCATGTATTTTGTATTTTAAAAGTGTGTATTTTCAGGTCAAACAGTAGACTTAATATTGTTTTTCACTGAAAGTTGGCAATGATGCTGTTCCAGAACAAATGTTTTAAACAAAGTCATGAATTTTTTTTTTTTTTGTCTGCATTCGTACTTGGCATTCTTTCCTGTTCTCATCATTCTCATCTAACCCCTAAGCACTAATCCATTTTCATATTAAATCCTTTTTGTCCTTCAGCAAGGAAGAAAACAGCTGCATAATTTTTGGAGGCTTTTCTTTCTGAATTGTTAAACAGTTTTTAATATGGATATTATTTTGCAGAAGCATACCTAACATTGCATAACCCTTTAAGGAATTATTAAAGAGCAGCGTATAGTTGACAGGATCTAGTTCTGCACTGACACCTGTGTGCAGGATTATAGCTTCATTAGCAAAGATTTGTACTGCAGCACAGACCTATTCTCATTACATAGACTCACAAGTGGAATATGTGCATCAGGCATCTTAATCAGGGCTTTTCTTCTCTGTCACTACCTTTTGACAGGAGGAAGAGTTGTAGACCTTTTTTTATTTTAAAAAACCCATTATTTTTCAAGGGACTGCTTTAGTACCATTTCCTTTAATCACAGGAAATACATTTTTTCATAGCTAAATACACTGTTGAGGTTAAATAAAAGCTTATTCTTTAGTCATATTTGGAGTACAGTGTATCTACAGCACACAGGTAGAAATTAGTCCTCCCTAAACATAGAAGTGTGTTTTGATCTTCTGATACAGGGTAGAGTCCTCTGGTGATTTGCGCTCTTGAGAAACAGTGTAATGCTGTTTACAGCAATGAGTTCACCCTAACTCATCTTCCAAGTAGCATACATGCCAGCATATACCTTAATACAATATAGTTCTCTTAACTGGCATATCCTAGCTAGAACAAGTTTTGGTAATAAATCCGTGATTCCTGTTTACAAAGGCATCTAATAATTCTTCATATGCAATTATATTCTCATTTGTGTTCAGAGAACTTCATGAATTTACTTACAAAGCATTGAAAATAATTGAGACATTGGCTAGGGAAATAAGTTTACTGTATGTTACTGTACTGGGAAACTGACTGCACAGTACTGTGTATCTCAAGCCATTGTGCAAAACGTAGCAAATGCCTATTGCACACAGAATCATACATGCTAAGCTTCTGACCAGTCTCTTTTTCTAAAAAATAAAAACCGAATAAATCTCTTTTTGTAGCTGTAGCATTGGGTTAATGACAGGTACAGTTAGCACTGATAAATTAATATGCATTCTTTTTGTGTATGCATGTGTTACTTGTGCAGATACCAATCCGTGATGTTGCATTGTACAATCAGAGAACTGCAGAGCGTGGATAAAGTGCTCTGTAGATTGACATTTTAATAAGTTTTATGATAAAAATCTGTGATAAAAAGTAGAATTAATCTGAATTTTTCCCAATTCTATAGGAAATGAACAATATCTCCTTGGCTGCAGACTACTATAAAGATGTCTTAAAACAAGACAATACTCATGTGGAAGCCATCGCGTGCATTGGCAGTAACCATTTTTATTCAGACCAGCCTGAGATAGCTCTGCGGTTTTATAGGTATCTACACTTGTAGGGAGGGAGGAGGAACTGAACATGTGGGAGGGTAATATAAAGGGTTGATTTTTGTAATGTTGATAGCAAAAAAAGAACATTAGGAGATTGGCATGGGAGGATGATTGAGCATTTGGACAAATATCACCATAAAATCAGCATACCAACTTATGCATCTTCTCAGCCAGTGATAACTACATTTCTGTCTTAAAAACTTGTCATCATTACATGTGGACTATGTAGAAGTATCAACAAAATTTATCAAAACAGTTATTATTTGATTAATAAAAAGATCTTTCACAGCATGAGGCAGTTTGAGAACACTAGACCTTACTCTCAACTTTAGTTGCATTCAGGAAGCACATGGACTTCCCATTTAGCCCTTCAAAAGAGAGTAGTCTTTGAAAAACTCCACCTGAAGTGATGAGGAGTTGTGACCACAAAGTCCCATACTTTAACATGGGCTGGGCTTCCCCCATGTTTTACTGAAAGCAATAAAAAGATAGTGTTAAACAATGCTGCTTGCTTTTTTATATCCATACAGTCAGAGTGCAAAGGGTCCTGACTCATATTCTTAACTGTAAGAGCAGATTAAGTCAGTGTAACCACTACCATCTCATTTCTGTTGGACCTGAGCTCTTCTATGCTTTAGGTTCAGAAACTCACAGTCATGCTGCAGACAGCAGCCCTCTTCTTCTCTAGCCCTCTTAGCATATCTGTTTTTCCTATAAGTATTAATAAACAGAATTTTTATGAAACACATCCATTCTAAAACACATTAAACAACATCAATTTGAATGAAAATCTGAGTTACGCTTCCAATTTAAGATTAATGTAGATTCACGTACTAGATGTGCTAGTACTGATTAGAGCAAAAAATGAAGTCTGTAGAGTTATGAAAAGTAACTGCAACAAATTATGGCTTGATTGAGGCTGAGGGATTGGAAGGGGGAAATGGAGAAAGTCTGCATACAGTTCTGTCTGATAGTAAGGTCAGATCATGTGGCACAGTCAAAGACAGAAGTTATCTAATTTACACAAAGACGGTTTTGCACAGCTTTGATTCTACTAATCAAAAATGTCCTACAATGCCCTTCATTAAACCTGTACCAAGTGTAAGACTATAACACTTGGTTATTACACTCTCTCAGAATAGAGAGAAAGAAGAGAACTTTGTCATTTAGGATAGAACTCTGATTTGAAATTAGTTTAAAAAAATAAAGAAATATTTTCTTTCAATCTAGACGGCTCCTGCAGATGGGTGTTTATAACTGCCAGCTTTTTAACAATCTGGGCCTCTGTTGCTTCTATGCCCAGCAATACGATATGACACTGTCGTCGTTTGAACGTGCACTGTTTTTGGCTGAAAATGAGGAGGAGACAGCAGATGTGTGGTACAACTTGGGACATGTGGCTGTGGTATGAAAAATATTAACAACCTTTCTGAATAAATACAATTTTACAAAAACTGTAAAAAGAATAACGAGGAAGGAGTCATTGCCCTACTTTGAAATATGAAACCTGAGAGTGTACAGGATAAAGTGCAGTACAGATTCAAGGTTTATTTGCAGCTCACTAGAGAGGAAGAGGCAAAAGAAAAAAGTTCTCTACATCTTTACAGAATGTGACTTAGTCCTGCTAAAAGATGTTCCCTCCCCACTGTCTTTAACCTTCCCTTCTTTCTAAAAAAATTGCAGCACGTACCAGCCCTTGAAGGCCTTTGCTGCAGTACAAGCTAATCCGACAAAAAAATTGAGTTCAAGATATTTTTCTTTCAGCTGTTATTTGTGTTACATGGAACATTAGACCGATTCTGTTGCCATAAAAAATCATATTCAGCAGCACGTAGCAGACACTAAAGCGCTATGTATGTCATAGTTGAGAAGGCATGTTCCTGTGCCTTATAGGCAGGTATAGAAATATTGTATAATTGTGTGATAAAGTTTGTTAAATTTCTACACTGATTTGCATTCATTGCCCATTTTTGCAGATATTCTTCCAGAAGTTGTGTTAGATTTCTGTTTAGCTGCGTGCCCAGAATAAGGTTTTTGAAGGTTTTTGACAGCTTTCTAATACAAGTTGTCTTCAAATGCTGATTATGATTTCACTTAAGTCAGACAGAAACTCAACTGCTCATCTTGATTGTACTGCAACTAGGATAAACACATTAATTTATACTGCCTAAAACACTGAAATTTGAATTGATGTGCCTATATTTTTTAGCATTTGTCACTTGTAATATTTGATCTGATGCTGTATCAGTGTTGGTCGTAACACTAGAGCATTAAAGAGTAGTCACCTCTTCATCCAAAGAAATTAGTCGCCCTTAATTTTTATCTTCTAAAAACTAGGCTTATATCTGTTTTCTTTTAAATCTATGCAGTGGCAGAGAGACAAGATAACTTCC